ATGAATACGGTGAAGGGTCATTACTCAATAAATCTAATTTTAGTACGCTATTCCCCTTCCTGTATTTCGACCTAACAAAACAGAAAATGGACATTGAGGATGGCACCACAAAACTGACATTCAAATATGAGCTATCTGGAACAACGGCAACAGCCTACTCAATTTACGCATTAACTCTGTACAAGCAGGATGTTGAGCTAATTCAGAAGGATGGCAAAATAATACTCAGATCGTAAATTGAATAAGGTTAAAATTATGTAACGTATATTATATATAAGATATGACAAAATATTATCCTTATGGTGTGTCACTTAGTGAAGGACAACTGGATAAGCTTTCGCGAGCTTACAATAATAATTCAGCAATAACAATCAGACTAGCCAGAAATGAGTTATCCGGTCCACACGAATTAATGCTCACAAAAACTCAGATCAATAAATTGAAAGAAGCAATGAGCCAGGGTACAGGATCGGATATCAAAATATCAAAAACACAAATCAGAAAGGCTGTTAGACAGGGTGGTAGTTTGTGGGGATTATTGTTCAGATTAGGAAGCAAGTTGCTACCTATGGCAATGCCATTAGCCAAAAAAGCTATCACACTGCTTGCAACAGGAGTGTTATCAGGATTAGCCAGTCTCGGTGTGGATAAAATATTCGGGAAAGGTCAACGAGGAGGTTTTCTTGTTCCAATAGATAAAATAGCACAATTAATTAATTACAAGCATTTACTGACCACGGGGCAGAAAAAGGATATTGTTAATGCTCTCCAAACTGGCAGTGGATTGGTTATCAGACCAACAAAAACACAGCAGGTTGGGTTTTTAGGAACTCTACTAGCGAGTATAGGAGTCCCACTATTACTAAATGCATTAACAGGAAAAGGACTGTAGGCTGATAGAACCGGTTGCGCTAATACAACATCTGTTTATGTTCCCGATACAACTAATGGCCATGGAATATATAATCCATATCCCTACATGTTGCCACCTTTCTTTGGAACATGGGAAAACCCAGTTGGTGCGGGAGTAAAAAAAAAAAAGGAAAGGGAAAGAGACTGCTGCTCGGGAAAAACAGTCCATTCAATTCAATCCCAATTCTAGAAACAATACTATAAGATTCATAAACAAACCGTTATCAAAAATTGATTTGTTACAATGGGTCAAAAAGTTAGGAATAAAATATTTCAGGGGTATCTACAGCCGTGATAATTTACCACAAAAAATACACAAATTGGAAACAGGAATAATTAATCTCGATGATTCAACAGGGGGAGGAAGTCATTGGATTTGTTACAGAAACGTGGATAAGCAATGTTGCGAGTATTTTGACCCGTTCAGATTAATTACGCCTAATGAGATTAAACATTATCTGAAAACAAGCGGGAAAAAAAAGGTTTACTCATCAGATGAAATACAAGAGAGGGACAGTGTGTTGTGTGGTTATTGGTGCTTATATTATCTTCTAGAGAGACAAAAGGGTAGATCATTATTAGACGTTATACACAATCCCAAATTCAGTTTCACAGATCAAATGATAAATCACCAATTTCTGATAAACTATTTTATGTGATCCATATATATAAGATGACTGAAAAGTTCTGTGTTTATTGCCAAGAAGTTATTCCTCATTATGTGAATCAATATTGATGTTTCGAGTGCTGCAACTGTGAGTGCTTGAGTGAGAGTGATTATGAGTCAGATAACAGCCATGATACTTATGTTCCAGACAGTAGTGATAGACAAGAAGGGTCCAATTTGGGTACCCCCTAGCAGAGACCGTTTTTATTACCCCATAATTAGAAAAAAACTACCGCCTAGTTTCTAGGGGTCAGGTCCCAGACCATTTTTATATAACATACATATATATAAATGGTGAAATCTTATTGTGTTAAACAGAAGAAGCAAACAGAATGTTTTTTAACCTTCGGGTTACAAAATTGCCAAAAATGGTAGACTTATGTTTTGGTGCACTTGCGCTGAATGCGGAATTAAAAAATTTAAATTTGTAAAGAAGGGAAACTAATTGGGCCCTCACAAGCTGGGGGCGATTTATTTGACACCGCTATAGGAACCGCTACTGATCTGTTTGTACATCACGGTTTCCTTGGATGGCTAAAAAAGCAGTTGAGATGGGAAGATATTACGGGTCAGAAGGGCTCAGAAACCCTTAATTACAGAAAAAAGCTATCGACTACGCTCTGGACAAATTGAGTCCAGTAATACACAATGTCGGTTCTCAAGCTCTTGACCAATTATCAACCAAAATACGACCAAAGAAAAACTACAAAACAAATAGGAAAGATCTTGATGGAGGTGCTTTGGACATCCACAAGGCCATTGGTAAATTACCAAGACCAGCAAGAGGATGGACCTTACCAGGGCATAAATATACAGGTCCTTATAATGATTTAGAAAACCAAGTAAGATACAATCCAGAAACTGGTGAAATATTAGAAATTTATGATCAACCAACTGGGCCAACCGATGCAGTGGCCATGCAACATGACATTGATTATGGAGTTTGCGGTGATAGCCGAAAGTGCAAAAATAAAGCTGACCGTAAAATGGTAAAATCGTTAGACGCCATTCCCTATAATGAACGACAATGGGGTCACTGGTCAGCTAGAAATCTAATAAACACAAAACAGAAACTCGGACTTGGTTTAAACTGAAAAAGCCATCGGGTATTAGTTGGCAACAGCAATTAGCGGACGAACTACATAAACCAATAAAACGCAACTTTACTCGGCGGCGCGTTATATCAACCGGTATTGACAAAATTTGGTCCTCAGATCTAGTTGAAATGCAACAGTTCAGCAAATGGAACAAGGGGTACAGATACCTTCTCATGGTATTAGATCTATTCTCCAAATATGGCTGGATTGTCCCATTGAAGGATAAGAAAGGGGAAACTGTCACAGAAGCATTCAAAACTATCTTCAAAGAGGGCCGTAAACCACAATACCTTTGGACTGATAAGGGAAAAGAGTATTATAACAAAAATATCAAAGAACTGTTGGAAAAGAATGGCATAACACTATACTCAACCGAGAATGAGGACAAATCTAGTGTATGTGAAAGATGGAACCATACCATTAAAACCAAAATGTGGAGTACTGAGTCAGTATAATAACACCAAACACAGTTCCATTAAAATGACACCTGTAGAAGCTAGTAAAAAGAAAAATGAGAATACCGTGTATTTCAATCTATATGGTGTTATGAAACAATTATCATCTAAGCCTAAATTCAAGGTTGGTGATAAAGTTAGGATAAGTAAGTATAAGAGAAATGTGTTCGATAAAGGATACACACCTAATTGGACAGAGGAGATATTCCTAATCGGTAAAATGCAATCGACAAACCCAATCGCATACAGATTAAAAGATCTCAATAATGAGGAAATACAAGGCAGCTTTTATGAGCCTGAATTATTACCAGCAAAACAGGATGTATTTCGCATTGAAAAAGTCATTCGGAGGGATTATAAGAAGAAACAAGCTCGTGTGAAATGGTTGGGTTATAGTGACGACTTTAATTCTTGGATTCCATTGAGCAGCTTGCGAGATTTATCTAACCAATAGTATATGGACGGTCATATAAGAAAGATTGATACTAAAATCCGTAGTAAGGAAACTGAGCTTAATGCACTCTACACCAATATCCAAAAATTAGAGGAAGAAATTGCGTTATTACATCACAAGAAATTAACCTCCAAAAATCTGGAACCAGCTGAGATGTCATTAACAGGCGTCCTTAAAGCGATCTTTGAAACGGAAGAAGAGGAGGAGGAGAATGAGTAAGGATAACCACAAACAGTTAATTTAGACCACCCCGTCGTTTTGACGGGTTGACCAGGCGTTTCATCGGGTCAACAAATAGTGATATTAGACAGTTTTGCAAGGAGCCGCCGTTTTAGCGGGACCTTATGTCTGGTGTGCTGAAACGGCACCTCAGGCCTAGCATACTTTTTAATCTATCATATATATCATTTTATTGGTCTGTGTGATAGAAAATTATGTAACCTATATATATAGTATATATGATAGAAAAGAAGTATGTCAATCAAGATATGAATATCGAGCTGACTTCATATATTGATAATAAGTAAAATGTTTGGTTCCGAGGAAAGGACATTGCTAAGATCCTTGGTTATAGTGTTACTGATCAGGCTATAAGAAAACATGTGTCTGATAACCACAAACAGCTAATTCGTTGCCCCGTCGAAATGAAGGGTCAACAAAATGACATGAGGGGTAAATGGACCACGTTCGTCGATGAGGCTGGTTTTTATGAACTTGTGTTTAGTTCCAAATTACCAGCTGCTAAAAAGTTTTGTGACTGGGTGTTTACTACTGTACTCCCATCTATCCGCAAGTATGGCCAATAGAAACTGTTTGATAGTCCCTGGAATAAAATGATTATTATTGGCAATGAGACTGACCTCCATTATAAAGTAGTGGACCTCATAAGAAGATATTATCCAGATTCCATATTAGTAGCCGGTCTGGGAGAAAATCAGGATACTGAGGATAAGAGACTGGATTCACAGTGTTCTCACCAGGCCGCGGCCTTGCGGGATTCCCGCAAGAAAAACCGAAATGGTGCATTAAAACCAAGAAGATGCGCCCGTTAGGGCGCAGGGGCAAGCTACGAGTCAAACGGACTTAAGTAGTTTTAATGGTCAACCTAACACTAAAGCATTCTGTTTGTTTGAATAAATAAAAAACATGATATAGAGTGCGGGCTCAGGTTCTTCGTACCGCGTGTTTTTTGTAACTTTGTCCCCCTAATGTTCTTACAGGGCCCCTATTTCTCAGAAGAGGGGGCCCTGGGACTCCCCAAGGCAAAATCCTGGTGAGAACACTGGATTCATATAAAAAGGGATATATGAGAGGACAGCCTGATCTATTGGTACTTGATTATCACAAAGATTATAAAGGCCTGGGTATAGAATTCAAGAGTCCTACAGGTAACTACTATATATCAGAAGCCCAAAAGGAGATGAAAAAGAAGTACGTTAATAATGGCTATGCATTCATCCTAAGTAATGATTATGATAAGATTAGCAAAAATATTCATGAGTATTTGAAAGGCATTAGAGTACCGTGTAAATATTGTATCAAACAATTCCATAATAAGGACAAACTAAAAATGTATTATAAAATTATCCACCGAATTGAAAAATATTAGTTCTACATGTCAGTACCCATTTAATATGCCTCAGTCTTAGTTCACCTTAAAGAGGTCATTTTTACATTCCATAATTATATACAATATCTATATGGAAGATTATATCCGTCTTTTAGCCAAACAACAATCTCTATAAGGATGCACTAGTTTGATATCTATGTATATTCCTCCAAATGGTAGAGTAAGCTTTAGTAAACAAAAGTTGACCAATGAAATGGGACTTGTCTCAACTATTAAGTCAAAAGTCGTACAAAAGCGCACAAAAACCGCTCTAAAATCAGCATTATAGCAACTAAACCAGCTAAAAGAACCAAGAATTTCGTGCCGTGGGTTGTTATTACTATCTGGCATCATAAAACATACTTGTGAAGGATACAAAGGATCAGTACTCATTGAGCCTGAGCAAGCAATAGAAAAAGCTGATTATAAAGGCGGTAAGAGCTTTTATTTATGTCCTATTTTAGATACTTATAAAAAGGAAATAATTGAAAATCCAATAGTCGACAAAATATTGGATATGATTGCAAAGGCAAATGTAGACAGGTTGGATTTTGGACTCAAAAAAATAACCAATAATCATTCTCATGTTGTATTCACAAATGAGGATAAATATGAAAACTATAAGCCAGATCCTGACTCAAAAACCAAAATAATATATAGTCGCAGACTATTTCAGTATGGTGATATGGTTGGGCTTAGATATTATTAAAATCAAACCGCCCAAAACCGGTTCAAACTGGATTGCCAAGGTCAAGTTCAAAATAAAAAACATAGTTAAACCCAAAACTGTGCTTACACCCTCCTATACCAAAAAGTGAATATATAAGCTAATACCAAAAATATGGTTTATACCGGGCCAAACTAGGTCAAAATAAAAAACATATAGTTTAACCCAAATTCCCAAGGCCACGCTAAAATTTCAAGAAAAGTGTAAATAGAAAGCCAAAACTGTGCTAATATATGGACTGTGCCTACACCCTCATTTCTTATACTACTGTTATTGGATCTTTAATGAGTTTCTTTTTATAAGTACTTAGCACATGTTCAAGATAAAAGGTCTTGCCACATATATACATTGCTTTTTGCACTAATGCTTCTGGTTCAAGTAAAATTGCCCCTATATAGGCCCATTGGTCATCAACATAGCATGTTCCCGATATCAATCCAGAGCATAAAATCAAACCATTGGCTGGAGCTCTTGGTTCTTTGTAAAGGCTTAATTGCTATATTGCTGGTTTGAGTGTCATTTTTACATCCTTTTGGACTGTTTTTTTGATTTGTTTGATGCAAGGCCATATTCACTGTTAGATTTTCTGGTAGAAATGGTTATTTTTTCGTTTGGTGGTATATACATGGTCATCAAGCCGGTTCCACCTGATAAAGACCGCTGTTGGGGTAAAAGTTTCACAAACGATTCCATATAATGTATGGTACATTTTATGAAAACTTAATTTATAGTCCAGCATAGGCTAGTATAGGGCACTTAGGTATGGTTAGAGTGGGTAATATACGTTGTCTGTTACAACAGCCTCTGTATATAAGTTAAATTAATTTTCAATGCCGTGGATCCATGTTGGGTGATTTTTATATGTTTTATTTGTGAGAAATGCTTGAGCACAGTATTTACATGGGACTCTGATGCCTTCCATGTATTTATGAATATTTTTACATATGACAACATAATCATTTCAGATCATAAAATAGAATCCATTGTTTCTGTACCTGTGTTTCATCTCTTTCTGTGCTTCTCATACTTGGTAATGATTTGTTGGGCTCTTAAATTCAATGCATCAGCCGGAAGAATTTTTGTTATAATTTATAATCATAATATCAGGTTGGTCTTTCATGTAACCCTTTTCCCAGGAGTTTGTTCTCTTTTGTGGAGAATCTTGGTTTTCCCCAAGACTGGCTACAACGATAGCATCGGGATAGAATTTGCGGATGAAATGCACTACTTTGGTGTGAAGATCATACTCATTTTCTATCTTAAACATATGGTTATTGGGATTGTCAAACAGTCTGTGTTGCCCATATTTTCTGATTGAAGGTAGTACTTTTTCAAATACCCAGTCTCGGAATTTTTCAGCAATTGGTAACTTAGATTTGAAAACCAGATCATAAAAGCCAGGCTCTGAAACAAAAAGGTGGTATCTGACCTGACCTTGCGATTCACGAGGGTAGGTTTTTTTGTATTTTTCTGACACGTGCTTTATTATTGCCTCATTAGTATTACTATATCCCAAGATTTGGGCAACATCTTTTCCCTTGAACCAGATATTCTGGTTGTTGTCAATATATGAAGTCAGCTCAATTTTCAGTTCATCATTGGCAAATGGTTCCTCTATCATAGCCATTACTATTGTATACATAATATTTTCTTAAATAGTTTTGGTTCCAACAGGCAGATATTACTCTTTTTCCAACTCACCGGTATTTTTGCTCACATTGAAATACTTTTTATGGTTGTCATTCATGATACCAGTACAAATTGCATGGAGAAGATCAGCCAGTGTTATGTTGTTTTCCATAGTTTCTTTCAACTTTTTCACATGTATTTTCATCAGAGATCGTTTATGCCTCATTGCAGCAAACTCTTCCTCCACTTCACGGATTTTATCATACAGCTCATCAAGTTCGTCTTTTTTATCGCAAATATCTGAATGCAGTTTTTCAACACATTTTACAATATGGTCGGCCGTTATACATTAGTTAGATTAATCTTCAAAGATCACTCCTAGGACGCCGGTTAATGTCATCTCTGCTGTTTCCAATTTTTTCACAATTAATTTTTTATGATGTAATGCGGCAATCTCTTCTTCTAATTTTTGGATTTTTATGTATAGTGCATTGACTTCATTTTCCTTATTGCGGATATTGGTGTTCAACTTTATTATACGTTCGTCCATTTATATATTAGTTGGATAAATCTTGTAAATCCTTCAGTGGAATCCAAGAATTTTAGTCGTCGCTATACTAGAGCTTGTTTTTTCTTGTAATCTCTTCGAATGACTTAATCAATGCGGGATACATCTTGTTTTGCCTTTGGTAATTCAGGTACATAAAAGCTCCCCTGTATCTCCTCGTTGAGATCTTTTAACCTGCAGGTAATTGGATTTGTGGATTGGATTTTGTCGACTAGGAATATCTCTTCAGTCCAATTAGGTGTGCGGCCTTTATCGAACACCTTTCTTTTGTATTTACTTATCTTAACCTTATCGCCAACCTTGAAGACAATTCGCCGTATAGGTTAAAATACACGGTACTTTGATTCTTCTTTTACTGGCTTCTACAGGAGTAATTTTAATAGAACTATGCTTAGTGTTATTATACTGCCTCACTATTTTTGATAACGTATCAAGATATACTGTATTACCCTGGAAAGTAAACTGCTTCCACATCTTTGTTTTGATTGTTCTATTCTATCTTTCACAAACACTCAATTTCTCCTCATTCTCGGTTGAGTATAGTGCTATGTATGCTTTTGCAATAGCTCCTTTAAGTTTTTGTTGTAATATTCTTTCCCTTTATCAGTCCATAGATATTGTGGCTTACGGCCCTCTCAAAGATGGTTTTGAATGCTTGTGTGACAGTTTCTCCTTTTTTATCTTTCAATGAAATAATCCAGCCATATTTGGAGAACAGATCTAACACCTTGAGAAGATCTCTATAACCCTTGTTCCATTTGCTGAATTGCTGCATTTCAACTAGATCAGAGCACCAAATTTTATTGATTAACCGTTTACAATAACACACCGCCGATTAAAATTGCGCTTTATAGGTTTATGTAATTCATCTGGTAATTGTTGTTGCCAACTTATTTCTTTACTCGACGGCTTTTTCCATCACCAAGTCCGAGTTTCAGTTTTTTATTCACGACATTTGTAGCCAACCAATGGCCCCATTGTCTTTCATTGTAAGGTACATTATCTAAGGCCTTTACCATTTTTTTGTCTCCTTCATTTTTGCACTTCCGGTTATCTCCACAGCCGAAATAATCGACGTCATGCTGCATGGCAATAGCATCTGTTCTTCCAGTTGGTGGATCATAAATTTCTCTTCTTTCAGCAGTTTTTGGATTGTGTCTTACTTGGTTTTTCAAATCATTATACGGCCTGTGTATTTATGCCCTTGGCAATGTCCATCCGGCCTTTGGTTTTGGTAATTTTCCAATTGCTTTGTGGCTGTCTATTCCACTTCCAAATCCTGGGAATGTATAAGCGGGTTTATGAACAGCGCCTATCGTTTTTGCAAAACTAGTGTAAGAACCTTTAAAATCAAGATTTTTGACAGCATGATAAGATCTTTTCAAGGCCGCCACAAGTTCTTTCATGTCAGCAACTTCTTGTTTGGAGGGCATTTTCCAGGCTTCAGGATTTGTTAAGTTATTTCAAATTGTTTATATACTAGTACGTCAAGATACTCCCTTGGGGTTTTTATTGCAGAGCCAATTTGTATTCAACTTTGGGCTTGCGAACTCGCATAATTACCTGATTAACCGTGCGTGAAACGCTGAGACTGTAATAGTTTTTCATGTCCTCGAGATAGATGGGAGAAAACGGTTCTTTAATAGGCAGACAAACTTGAAATAGAGCGTTTCAGCTCCAATTTGTGTATATGTGCGTGTGTTTTGTTTATATATCTGAGTTTTAGCGCTAAATAAGATTCTCGCGTTGCTAGGTGATCACTTCTCTTATTCCTATTTTCCTTTTAATAGACGGTCCGAACACCGGGCTCACGTTACTTCACGGGCAAGTCTAGGCAAGCCTATTGTTCCTATTGTAGTAGAGTGACGCTCATTAGTAAACC